AATATAGAAGATCATTGCGAATGCTGGCAACAGGAAATATTTTTCAAGGAAGTGAAAGAGTCTATTATAGTCTCATTTCTGCTTTCATTTATTTACATCTTTCACATTGCTTTGCTTGGTTTTATTTCCTTTCTCTGTCAACCACTATTTTTGCTCTGTACTCATGCATGCAGTGGTTTGTCAAAGACTATTTTAGTCTATCTGAATCACTGGGGAATCTTATGGAAAAAGTTAGGGACTTACGCCATCAATAAAAGAAAATAATTTCATACCTACCTTTAAAGAAGGTTTGTTAATAAATGAGCACCCTGTCAACTTTAGTAGATAATCTTAGGCATAAGTTTTGTATTTTAATGCTAGGGTTTTTATACTACTGAAAGTTTAAATAATTGTCTGTAACTTAAAACATTATTAATTGTAAATGTTTTCTTTTACATAGATTACAGAACAAAAAATGGATGAATATAAGAGTTTGTGCAGATCTACCTTAAACAGGTTAAAAAGACTGACGGTCTGCTTGCAAACATACCTCTATTTAAAAGCAATCATATTGAAATAACATTTCTACTACATGCATCATATAATCATTGTGTCTTAGTAAACTGGTATCATGAATGCCAATATTTGGCTACGTCTTTACATAAGGTATTTGTTAATTTGTTGTCAGAATTTTCATCTTATTTTTAGAATGATTTTAAAGATTGAAAGCCACTTTTGTTTTTCTTATTGTGAAGCTTAAGAATTATTGGTTGAGAAGACTTCTTAAGAACTCTACATCCTAGAGTATTGTATGTGGCTTTGTTATTTTGTGAATATCTCATAATAAGTTAAACTATTAAACCATGTTTTAAAAACCTGGTGAGGTTTTGGAGATTGACAGTGCTGTAGCCTTATAGGCTGACCTGATGAAGGGATTTTTTTTTTTTTCCCCATTTCAACAGTAGAGGATAATAAAATTGAGAAATTCTCACACATTCTGTTCCTTCCCATTGTCTTCAGCCTTAATCCCTCTATTAATTTTTCTTTAATGATCTGCAACAGCTTTCCCTTGACTCATGTGCAGGTCCTGAAAACGTTCTTAAGCTGTAACTGTGTGGCCCTGAGAAGAAATAGGAAACGAACCCACCAGCTTTTGCTGAAGAGTCCCTTTGCATTTTGAAATATGACCTAAGCTCTGTCAACATGCGATTGTTATACTTTAGCATCAAACATTAAGGCAATATTTTTCTTAATCCTTTTTCCTCTTTTCTGTTGTATTATCACCTAGTATTTTATACAGGAAAAAGTAAAACCAAGACATCTTTAACTTGTAGGTAGGTGTAAAGTTTTGGAATGTCCCAAAAGTCTAGGTTACAGCCTTATGTTTGATATACTTTATATGTCTTCTCAAAACTGTTTTCTGGAATGTTTGGAGACCTTTCACAGTAACAATATTTAACAAAGTAATATTTATTACTCAAATTTGAAGTGTTTTTAACTCTACCAAAACTATTGCTTAATCATAAAACTGACCCTAGGCACCTGATACTTTGCCAATTTTTCCACAGAAGATTTGACACTTCTAGTATTTTCCAGACAACACAGTGCTAATTTTAAATTAAAAACCAATTTCATATACATGGAATACATTATACTACCGTCCTCTGTAGTATAACTGAAAAATTGTATCTTATAGAACCATAAAATAGTTAGGGTTGGAAAGGACCTTAAGATCATCTCATGTTGCATGGTAAATATTTTATCTATCTTACGTGTAAATGATATGTATTTTGTTCAGGTAGGATCAAAACTTTTAGTCAGGAGATATTTGGATTGGAATAACCATTGAATGCTCATACTGGCTTGTTACAGAAACTCAAGATGCCATGAATGTTTACATTACACATTCATATATGCCATGACCCTTAATATTAAAACCAGTCTAGCTGTGTTGGTACAAGACTTCACCTCATGAACTTAGTTGTAATGAAAAGCAAGTTTGCATTGAGTAGAGAATTGCTGTTTTAATACTCAGAGTGTTTTAGCAAGTTCTACATGCATTGCTCTGTGGGATATTGATGCTTTCTAAATTTTTTTAAATAGCTTGGTTTATTCTCTGAGGCCAGAGAATTCCTATTCTCCAGAGCACTCCTATTGTTCAGTTCTAACTTTAAAATGCTTCTAGTTGCATTTATAGCTTTTGCACCATTAATTTTTACACATTTTACATACATTTTGATAGATTGTATGTTTATAGTAGTTGAACCATGGGAAGTATTTGCTGGGCCCTCCTACAGTCATTCTCCAGATTGTCACAGGAGAACAGTGCGGCATACATGAGTTTTAAACTTCATTTGATGGATTATGGTAAATCCATTACGTGTTTATTATAAATATACTGAGTTGATTTGACTCATCTATGTGAGTTAAAAAAATATTTTACATGGTCATGAATACTTGGTAGCAAATATGGTCTTTCCAAGTGCTTTTGTTTCATTGTTTGGCATGCTTGTAGCTTGAATGAAACATTGTTTTCTTGTGTTTTAGTCAAAGTTTGATGTTAATGAGGATGAATTTTGGGGGATGTTATGTCCTTTCTTGGGATACAGAAAAGGGTTTTTTAAGGCTTTGTTTATACATTACATGACACTTATTTCTAAACTCATGCATGACTTCCCAAACAAGTTTTGTAGGAAGAATATTAAATTATTAGTCCCCAAACCATTTAACTTTGTTTCTTTGTTTTCAGTGTGCTAAGCACAGAGAATATGCTGGACAGCACAGAGGGTCTTTTTGTCATGGTATATTTACAAGCTTTTAATAAGGATGAAAATGAGCTTTATCTTGAATAAATCTCATTCTTTGTCTACAAAAAGGGTTGTTCTGCTTAAATAACTTAGACAATTGTGAAATTCATGCCGATACTTTTAACACTGGGACAGATTTTTATATGAACTGGGGCTCATGTGTTCAGTTTCCCATTAGAATTTTATGGACATTACAGTTTTTCCAAGTAAGTATCCTTTGGTCTTATTTCTGGATGAAAGTACAGTCTATGTCATTTTGCATTTACTACAGTGTTGCCTAGCAGTCTGATTTTTGACTGCTCCTGTGATCTGTTTTATGTAACTTATGGCAAGTTTACATATTTTCATGACTGTTAATACTAAATTCTATACTTGCAAAGGGTTTAAAAGTCCTTTACAAGGACACATCCAATACCATGTAGTCATTTTGACAACTTGCCGTGAAATGGAAAAGGAGAAAAATGAAATAACTTGTTTGGCAAAATATCCATCTTTTAGTACTTAATTCTCCTGATAGCAACAGGACTAGAAGTGTATTTATGTTTATCTTAATTTAAAACGGTTCACAAAAAAATGAAAAAAAGAAATTGAAGACTTCAAGCACAAATCCTTACTTTTAAAAATGAAACCATAGGGTAGCCAAATTCAAGTGTTGATTTTAGCAAGGAGTTATAAATCTGACTACGCTGCATTGTCCCTTCCCTATTATCATCAGTTACTGTGGTGTTTTATGGTATTTTAAGTGACATGGGTGAGACTGGACAAACTATACGTTGTGTTAATATCACAGTCCATAACCTGCAACAGCTCATTGTTAATACTTTGCTTTCCTATAATAAAGCTTAGCTTATGTAGAATGTCTTTAGGACTATAAATCAATAAAACCATTTTAAAAGTGAATAGCCTAGCGTAAAAAAGCTATGTTAGCCTCATAATACTTAAGAGGAACAGGGATGAAATTCAGGAATTCTACTTTGCAGTCAGCCTGAGGTGGCTGTGAGCAGACTCCATTACGTTTATTCTACTATACTTTAGTATCTTCTAGTGTTGAGATCTTAAATTATTTCTTTTCATATAATGCTGATGAATAAAATCCCAGACAAACAAAACAAACACTGAATAACTGAGATTTATTCCTGTATATCAAATGGCAGTGTTGCTGAGGAGTCAGCTGCTTGGTCATCAACAGCTCCATGAAATCTTTAAAGACTTCGGGGTTTATTTGCTGTAATTTGCCAGTTTAAATTGAAACATGCGAGATAAATAGTGATAATGAGTAGCACAGGCAAATAGCTAAAGGATAGTTAAGGCAAGTAGATCAAAGCAGTGTATTAATGTTACTTAACTCCAGTTTGTCTCCCTGCATTACTTTTTATGATTAAAAAAAAAAAAGAGATTCTTTCAAAGGGTTCTTCAGTGCACACAGGTAAAGCACCATCTCTGAATGTAGTTCTCCAGAGAATTTTGTTGGTTGTGAAGAGGTAGAGTTTTTAAAGATAGGGATATTACAGGTCAATTTGGCCACTCAATGCAGATGTCTAAAATGGAATGGTGTAGATGAGAGCTGAAAACCAAAGCTCTAAAGCTTGTCCTTTGTATTCAGATTTGACTGTGATAAATGTGGGATACATAGACAGTATGAATCAAATAGCGTAAATAATGAATTAAACTTAATTGGATCATCATCTTATTCATTTTTTTAAATATTTACTTCTGAACAACTTAGTTCATGTGAATTATGTGTATAGTAATCTAAATATCATCCTAGAGAAACTTTTACAATCAGCTTTAAAGCACTGAAAATAGTAATGAAGAAAATAAGTAACCAGTGATGTACATATAATACAAAACATGTTGCTCATGATAGAGGATGGATTTTTGTCTAAGTGAAAACAAAATCTGCCAAGAAAATAAATATTTGTGTGATATATTGCAGCCTGATGGGAGATACTAAATGACATATCTAGTAACAATTTTAATTTGAAAGAACTTATTTCTATCAAAATGAAATACATGCTGTTTGTGCGGGTGAAACCAAATGTGCTTTAGATTGTGTAATGGGCAATTACTGCACATTGCTAAACTGTGTAGCTTAATGCAATCTTATGTTAACCAGTGTAGTTCAGTTTTGACATTTTATATTGCACTTCAGTGTTAACCTTCAGGGTATGTGAATTAAGGGGAAATGCTTTAATTTGGAACCAGTGACCAAACTTGGGGTATCTCTATATATGTGGGTGGCCTGTGATTTCACTCTCAGCTTTCTGTTCCTGCAAGCTGTAGGTTGCCATCTCTGTTGTCACTGTAGAGGAATTGATTCCAGTTGGCTGCTACAAGTGTTTGCTTTTGTCTTGCATCACATGATGACCAAGATGCTCTTAATGGAATCTCTAGAACATCTTGCCATCTGCTGCACAGTACTGCATGTTTGCTGGTTTTTCCAAATTTGAGCATTGCCTAATTAGGACCATGGAAAAAATTAAGCAAAAGTTTAGGGGAGAAAAAGTAATGGGACAGCTGAAAAGAATCACTGGCATTCCAATATGCTCTTTAAATAAACACAAGCTGTGTTCCATGGTTAAGCTTGCACTGTACTTGTCTTGAGCCTCAGTTTTCTGTCTGCGGTATACAGCCTTTAGCCAGAGGATCCCTTTTATCTTTGCCAAAACATTTAGAGAAATAGTGTTCTATCATAATGCCACTGAAAATTCAGCCTGGCTTTATAGGTCAAGAAAATTAGGTGCTCAATCACAGGCAGAATAATAAAGTGATTTTTTTTCAGTTCTCCCCTCTTATTTTCTTGAAAATCTGAATATTTCACAATGAAAGAGTTTCAGGAAAATTTGATCCCAAGAGCAGGTTTGTTTTATCGTTTATAGCTTGAGCGATGTTTTTCTATGGGGGGAAAAACAATTGTCAGGTTAATCTGGAACCTGAGCTCTGAAGACCAGTAGGAAATGTTCCTTGCAATGTGTAATCTTTGTTTAAAAGCAAAGATACAGATCTTATTTGCTCTTTTTCTGTTTATTAGTCTTACTATCTGTGGACTTAAAGTTCTGTATTTGTGGTGCATAAGTCTGCCTTACTTCTCAGAGCCAACCAATGCAAGTTGCCTAGAAGGTATTTACGTGAGTCAAACTCGGCACCTGGTGTAATCGGCTAAAACTAAGCTAGGAATCCTCCTCAGTTTTCCCCTTAAGTCAGTGGAAATAGATTTTAAAATCCTTTTACAAGTGGTTCAGAGAAGTCTTGTGTCTGCTGGCTTCTCTTCAATGGCTGCAACTGGAGCTTAGAGAACCTGCCTGACAAATTCAGGTGCTTAAAGTTTTAATGAATATTTCTTTTTCTTTTGTCTCATAGACACTCAGCTTGTATGTTTATGAGCTCCCAACAGCATTAATATTAAAAATTGACTAATAGGTAATTTGATAACTACTTTTTTCTGAGCTTTTAAGATAACATAACAATTAATTACTGCAGAATAGTACACGAAGTAACAAGGTGTTTTTTTTCTGTGGGCACAATTTCTAGCTGAGCTAGTTCACTAAATTCTAGCTGGTTATAAATCTTTATATCACTTAAGGCTCTGCTCTTTGTTTGCTCTTGCCAGTGATGCTGCATGCTGATCTCCCAGCACAGAATATGAACATTGCTATTGCCAATTATTAATGTACTCTGTTTTATTCCGTTATTTAAAAAAATGTTGAAAATATTATCAAGACAAAACCTACAGATATAAGCAGCATGTACTGTGGTGCTGCTTGTCTTTGAAGTACTCAGACTGCTTTGTGTTTCTACTCCAAAACGTTTAGATGTTCCTTCTTGGTTTTGTATCATCAAAGTCAACTGAAGGTAGGCTTTTATAAGCAGCTAAATATCCTGACACAAAATTCAGGTGGGCCATTTCAGTTCCTTTATTCATCTTTTTTTTTTTTTTTAGTTAAAAATAATGAAAAATCTGTATAATAACAGCACTTGTGGAACAAGTAGTTTCATTGCTCTTGCTATAGCTCTTAACTGGAAAGAAAAGTACACCAATAATTAAGTGGTTCCCTTTTTTGGACTTCAATCACCATTGATTTCAGAAAGTATTTTGGAAAAGTTGTTATATATGTAAGGGTCCAACTTTTTATTGAAAATTCCTGTAGATAAACATATGTTTTCTAAAAAAACCCAAAAAACCCCTTTCCATTATATTAATCTATTATGGAGAAATGTTTAAGAACACTATCTATTTAATACATATTCATTAGCATATAAAGATTTTTATTCACCTGCCACTTCAGCCTGTCTTTCTAGAGCTTTTGCTCTTGCTTTCTCTGATTTTTGAGCTTGAGAGCGAAAGACTATTCCAAGGAAACAAGTGACAGTGATTCAAAAAACTGTCTAATCTCTGTCAAGAGGAAAAAAGGAAAAGGAATATAGGAAAAATAGGGAGGAAATACCCAAGAAAGAGGAAAAAAAGATGACTCTTGAAAGCAGGGTTTGTAAAGAAACTAAGAGAGTCTGAGCCTTGTTATTTGATTTGAAAATGAAGTATGTTTAAGATAAGGTTTAGTTCTTGGATTTGAGATTTCAGAAGACCGAGGATCATGCAACGATTAGCTGTAATTTGCAACTTGAGAAATTATAGCCTAAAATATTGGTAACTTTGTGGACTGAGAAAACTGGATCCATAATGGAAACTGGACTTAAAGTTTCACTCCATGTTACACATCCTTTTTCATATCAAGATGTTTTTTATAACAATACCTTCTGTTCCTTTTAAAAATACACTTGGATTATTTCTGTGTAATGGCTATTTTTTATTGGTACGTACAATAAAACTGTAATTAGACCTGGGAGATCAAACAACCCTTTAAAAAACACACACAAAAGCCCCAACAAAGGAGATTACAGTTTTTCTTTTAAATTCTTTTTTCAGTTAATACTCCAGATGATCAGATAAAGCTTTATTGTAAAGGGGCAGATACAGTTGTATTTCAACAACTTCATCTGGCCAATGGAGTATTCATGTCTTTTGGCATTTAACTGTCTTGGTGCAAGTACTTCTACTTGAGATATTAACTCAGGAGCTTCTTTTAATAGTCAACAAATTCCACTTAAATTAGAGGCTTAAAATTACATTTAAATATTCTTGGTGTAAATATAAACATAAATTCCGTAATTGGGAGTAGAATGTTTTCTTGCTGTGAAGTTAGGTTAATGTTCTACGTATTCTGTGTTCCCAGAGCTGATTAAAGAACTATATCTACTTAAATAATATGGATGCTAGTATTTTAAGCACTTAGAATATTTACATTGTGCAAGTAATCACCATCTCAGAACTTATAGCTTGAAATCAGTGCAAGTGTATGGATGTGAATACAAATTACCCAGTTACTTTAAAAAGTGTGCGCTGTCTGTGTGATTTCAGGGGTCTCCTCTAAGGTGAACTTCAAGGAAAACTGAATCAAATTCTCCTTGCTTTCTCAAAGGGTTTATGTTCTCTGTAAGTGTCCATGCGTAATACAAACCATTCGATGATTTTTAAAATGTCTGTGACATTACTAAACCATCATAACATATACTTAATATGGGTTACAAATGTAACTATTGTTTTCCTCTCTGTAATAGAGCTTTCTTGGTTTTCTCTTAATCTTTTCCAGAAGGCCAGCATGTTTTATATGAAAGCAAAGCTGGAATCATAAGCATCTGATCTCTTTTACAGTTCCTTAGATGCTAAAACCTTGAGTTTCCATACTAACTCTGTAAGGTTAAGAGGGGGCTGTATGTGTGTGTGGCCAGGGTACAGTTGCCATTTAGATAAGGGAACAACAGAGTGGTGTGGCTGAAACCACAGTGTACTGTAAAGCATGCACACACTGCATTGGGTGGTCATGGCTGTCAAGACTTGTCCCTTTAACCTCTGTCCACTTGGACCGGTGTCTGTCAGTCTCCTTTCTCTGTCTCTTCGGCTCTCCCTTTCTCCCACTTTTCCCCCCTACACTCCTACAAATGTTTTCCCAAACAGGTATGGTTTTCTCTCAATAGTTCCTATTTTCAGTTAAAAACTTTTCTTACATTGCAGTCCATCAATTTTGATGTTTACTGGTTTTTTTTTCTTTGTACTATCTTATACCAGAATATAGGGAATGATCAAGCTACGCTGTTGTTGGTAAGCCATGTAACAGCTTGTTTTGTTGACATGTGTTTTAGGTGAAAAACATTTCCTGACATATTCTTGCTCTTTAACAATGAAACTGTTCATGATCTTTGCACTTCAAAGGCATTTACAGAAATTTTAAGGTATAATACTGCAGTATACTTTGCTTAATAAAAATGTCTTGTGCAGAAGAGTACAGTAAAAGTACAAGTTTTGAATCCCATCCCATGCATAGTAATATCGATATTTAAGAAATAACTTATCAGTGAAATTTTGAGTCCAGTGGAAAGTCTTAGGACTTTCCCCAGTTCACTTGCAATGAGCACGGGTCTTTAGAATATCAGTGTGAAGGATGAAAACAATAATCACATTTGTTTCTTAATATATTTGGAAGTCTTGCAATTTGACATTAAAGTATATATGTCTATGTGTACTAGCCAACGTTTACCTAATTATATCCTTGTTTTTCTAAGTGTTAACTAAAGCTCAAAATGATCTTATTGCAAGGAAAGCATAATTCACTTGGCTGTGAAGCAGTAATGTGGAATTGTTTTAATTGCAGGTTGTTCTGTCTCTTTCAAACATGTAATAAAATTTCTTGCATTTCTAATACTTACGAATTTGGGCATCAGACTTATTTTGATGGCTTGGTGATATCTATATTGGGGTTGATCCTTTTCACTTATGTTCTAGTACCAGTTTCCTGGCTTTTTACAAGGATTATATAGTGATGGCAAGGGGAAATGGCTTTAAGGTGAAAGAGGGTAGGTATTAAGAAAAAAGTTTTCACTATGAGGGTTGTGAGACACAGGACCAGGTTGCCCAGAGGAGTTCTGGATGCCCCACCCTGGCAGTGTTGAAGGCCAGGCTGGGGCTTTGAGCAATCTCTTCTAGTGGAAGGTGTCCCTGCCCATGGCATGGGGTTGGAACTGGAGCTTTAAGGTCCCTTCCCACCCAAATCATTCTGGGGACTTCTGTCGTGGGAGCTTCTAGGATTACAGTCTTTTTCTCTATATAGTATAGAGACCTGAATGCTAGTGATGTATTTTACTTTGCCAAGTAACGTGATGAAGTTTAGCAAATGGTATGTAGGAAAATTTAAAATTATTAGTTGTCAATGCTACCATCAGATATTTTAATCCACTTGAAGTGTACCACTTCTCTAAAGTTATGTCTAAACATGTAAGTGAGCCTAACTTGCATTTCATTCCCCTTTGAGAGTGACAACTTTCAAATAAAAATTGAAAGGGGGGGGGGGGTAGGGCAAGAAAGATTCATCTGCACTAAATTTAAGAGCTGAATTAAGAAACCCAGATTTAATCCTAGTTATTTCAGAGGAATAATTTAGCCAACTTTTATTACTGAAACTTAAAATGTTTAGAATAATTGAGGAGGGAGAGACTTTCTGGTGAATGAGTGGATGACTTCTGACTTGGGTCTTACTAGTTCCCTTCCCTACCTCATTCACTGTGAAGCTTTTAGTAACGTCTGTAGTAATTTCCACTCTTAGAGTTGCCACAAAGACTGTTTTATTCACTGAAAGATCCATTTCATATTTGTTATTAATGAATGTACATCTTCCTTGGATGTGAAATCACTTAAGTTCTACTACAATATTCTCTTATTCAAGACTGTGGATATATGTGAAAATTTTAAAAAGTAGTTTCTTCCTTTAGCTAATAACTTTCATGACACGTTTGTGTATCAAGGCATGCCTAACTTTTCACCTTCATACACAGAGGTCAGTTTGTTTTCCTTTTAGCACCTTCTCGCTACCTTTGCAGTGATTTTGAAGTGGGATGTGCTTGCCACCTTTAGCCACACATTCATCCAGCAGGTGTCCTTCAAAGAGCAGAAGTTGGCCTTTCCCTGAGCAGCACTTAACCCGCTTCCTGGGCTCCAGTGCATGGTAGTCAGATTGCTGTCTAGTTTACCATATGGCATCATCATGCCTTGCAAATACACACTAAATACTGTTTTTCAATGAAAAGTTTAAAAGTTTCCTGCAAAAACCTGGATACAGTGGGAAAAGAAAAAGCTCGCCTGTGCTCATCAACATTTGTTTTAGGGTTCCTTGACTATTGCTGCTACTATCATTACTGCTGGCCCTGTTGACTGCTGCTATTGCTGTTGATACTGCCTAATTTTGTACAAGCTTATTCTTTGAAGTGTTAACTAAGCAATCTTTAGAGAAACATACATAAAATTTTGGAGTAAAGCATCAAGATATGATCTATGAAGTTTGGATCTACATTGTGTTGTGGCTGGTTTTAGAATTTGGATCTGCTGAGACTAGTTTCCTCTGAGTCGATGTTATAAAATTTAAGAATAAGCTGAGTAATTTCTAAAATAAAATGATAGCTGTAACAATGTATTAATTATTCCAATACTAAAAGGCAAAGAAGAGAAAATAACAGGTATCAATTTACTTTATTAAAGATCTCCCTTTGTGAGATATATCAGCAGTCTCACATGGGCCCTACTGCTATAATAGTCTAGAACTAATTGTTTATGGAGTAGGTCAGCTAGCAGATATTGTGACAAAAATTCTTAAGTGTTATGCCATAGGAGTAAGACACATAGAAAAAACTTAGCATATGTATAGGGAGTATTTTATATCTGTAATAGTGTCCCATCCAAGGAGAGCTTCTAAATTCTAGTTTGCAGCTGCGTCAGCATAGTTTTTTAGAACCACTTAATCAGTAAGTCTTTCCTTGCTGTTGAGTGAATGAAAATTTCCTTTGGGGAAAAAGGAATCCAGTAGTGTCAGAAGGATGATAAATAAGCTCATGTAACTCAGTGTTTGTTCTGTTGTCCTTATTTCAACTTATATTGTTTTCCTTTGATATTCCATTTCTACTTGGAGCATTACAGTATGTTCATACAGCAAACATCCTGGCAATGAGATTAACATTCAGTTCTAATAAATTTCTACTGAACATTATCTCAGCTCCAACTGAAACTTACATGAAACATTTACAAAGCAAAAACAATGAAGAGATTCCAAGGAAAAATACTAAAATAAAAACTAAATTCAAAGTTAAAGGTGAGTCAGATGTGTAGAAAGACTCTCTGGTGACACTTCTAAGTCATTGTCAGGTGGCCACATTCCTTTCTTAACCTCTTTTCTATTTTTTTTCCTTTAAACAAAGCAGAATACCTGTAAGAGCTTTATGATTCTCAGCTACTCTGTGGGACGAAGTGCAAAAGTCCAACCAGGTCTTAGTTTGGGACAAGTGTGTCACTGGTAGTTAATTAACCCCTTAGTAGTTAATGGTTATGGCCTGTTAAGTATGTTTATTATGTTTTGCCCTTTCATTCCCACTCCAATTATATGTGTTCTGTTCCAGGAAATTCAGGTTTAGAGCATTTGGAAAAGAATTAGTATTCTGCATAGCTTTTCAAAATAAATTTTACGAAAGAGGGTCTTGTAGTCAATGTTTCACACCATCTTATCCATCCTTAATTAAAATGTCCTATTGCTGCTATCAAGTGCTTGTGTGGGAGTAGCAGCAGCACAGGACCAATGCCAATTAACTGGAATACAAGTAGGCAGATGTAGTGCAACTATTTTTTCCCCATTTTGCTTAAAAGCACAACTTGAGCTTAAAATAATTACAACATCAAATTAATGTCATTAAGTTAACTCCAGTGGATTGTTTAAGTATCAGCCTTTTATAGGAATGCCGGAACAATTTGCTTTGATTAGAGAATCTGGTTCCTGTCATAAGGAAAGCTCTGTTCCTTTCATGTACTTCAGGCTTGAACTCTTGAACAAAAATTGAAAGTTTCTTATTTACTAATCTAATAGACTTTCAAGCTTGCTGTAGCTGCATTAGAAGATAGTTAGCAGTTCTAGTCTCCACCTGTTTGTCTCGCTGTGTGCATCTGCAATACATGCTTTCCTTATTACACTGCCATATCCTGTGGCTTGCAGCACTCCAAAACTTCTGAGATTCCTACTTCTTCCTTTTAGAAGATTTTCTTTTCATATTTTAATGTCACAATTTTCACAGTAAATTAAATGCTGTGATATATATATATTCAGATGCTAAAGAATTTTTGTTCCTGGGCTCATTCCATATGTGGCTAGCTGCAGTATTAAATATAAACCCAAAAGAGAACCTTCTGAGGGTATGGCTGAACGTTATGCAATGATAATTGCAAAAGTTAACAACGGACGTTCTTCCAAGTAATGAACCAAAGAAACGCACATTCCTGTACTAAATGCCTGTTGAGATGATCGTTCAATTTAGTAAGTCTTTTGTTTACTCCCTAATCCTCACAGTGTCAGCTGGAAAGCTGAATGTTTTTCTCAAGTAGCCAGTTTAGTGAGTTGGTCTCTTTTTAGCATTTTTGTAGGTAAAAGTGAAGTCAAACAATTAGGCAAGAAAATGTATTTTATAATTGTGTGTGTTGAGATTATATATGCTATATATGTGTATATACACATAAGAGGACGATTTATGATGATGAATAGGAATGAGATTTTCTGCTAAATGCTTCAGTTGCTTAAAATTCCTTTGACTTTGCTACAAAAGAAGATACCCTACTTAAGTGCAAGGAATGACCAAATTCATGTCGCCCTAAAATAGTTACAAAACCTGACTTACCAGAAGTTTTTAGGCTCTTGCTATTGAGGCTGATTTGGAGAATATTCTTGGAACTTGTCTGTATGTGTAAAACTGTGACTTGCTGTTGAGTCACTTTACAAAAAACATGAGTTTCAGAGCTGATTAGGAAATACAGGAAGGCAGTCACGTCGGCAGTAGGAGCTGGAGCTAATGACATCAGCATGATCAAAACTAAGGGGAAATTTAGTTTGAAATGTAAATAAAAATGATGGCTTATTAATGAATTTGTGTTTATAGCAGGCCCATTACTTAGACCTTTTTTATTTGAAGAATTGCTTTTCCTTCTATGGAAAAAATAACTCAGATCAACCCTTATGCCATTATTTGGTAATTGAAAGTAACTATGATAAATAAATTGACTTGTGTGGGGTGAACTTCAACTGAGTAAGCCCAAATATCTGTCTAATCCAGGGTCCTATCTTTAGCAGTGACCAAGTACAGACGTTCAGGAAAAAAACAAAAGAACAGGGCAACCATTCAAAGCTGCTTTTGCAGCTTCCTTCACTCCTTGTCTCAGCAAGATGTGTGTTCTTTGTGTTTACTCATTCTTGATGGTTTTTGTCTTGTAACTTTGGTCACCTTTCAAATATGTAGGAAATTGTAGTTCTACAATACCCTCCAAATGGTTATTATTTTTGTAAAATGTGAGGCTACTGTTACAAACATTTATATCAAACATAAGTAATGAAATATGACTGATGAGCAAGTTGGCTGTATTTCTCAAAAAGGGTACCCTATAGCTGTTACTATTGACTTGTTTGTTGTGTTTTGTGTTTTTTTTTTTGTGTGTGTTCTTTGTTTGTTTGGTTTTTTTTTTATTTTGTTTTTTTTTGTTTTTTTAATGACCCATTGGTTCGGTGTAGAATACAGTCCATGTAGCAACTGAGAGTATGAATAGAATTCTTGTTCTCTGCCTGCCATCATGGACATCCTTTTCATTCAAGGCCTCTAGTCAGTACCACATTGGATCCTCTTAGCTGCCAGCCTGAAAGCTCACTTTTTGTCCTGCTTTAAGAATATTTGAGTAACAGATGCTGCATTTTCTGCTGTTAGCTGAGCTATTTCTTTCATTGCCTAATTTTGGTTGTAGCTGGGTTTTTGGAATAAAACTAATCCAAGTCTGTTGCACAAAAATGTGAAGTTACCCACCCTGAGCGGATCTACCAAATGCTGGACCTGATATAACTCCTACTGTATGACTGCTCAGAGGCACCAGGAGCTTCAGAACTCAGTGGAGGATATCCATATTCGGGTCACTTTTAATTGCATGCAGGCATCTCAGAATTAATGTTTTGAGAAAGTGCAAAACTGTTGTATTAAACACCATGCTTTGATAGCCTGTAAAACTTCCAAACTGATTGATGTTCCTGTTTGAGAATGCAGTGTGTCAGGATCAGAACATCAGATGGTATTAAGCAAATGAAATGCTTAATACTGAAGTTAATATAGGTAACTGCTCTGTTTAGTTTACTGTCAGATACTTGGAAGTTCCTTTTTATGGTATGATAGCTATGTGAGACTACACAGTAAATACATAACTTTCTAATTAATTGATGGGCAGTCTTAAAATGATACAAGTTGACCTCATGATGAATAATGGCCTGGGTCGCTTGCTTAGATTGTTTCATCTTGCTGCTATTAGCCTTGCACTGTAAATTTGTCAAAACTTGAAATTCCCACAATATACTGTTGAAGCAGGAAAAATAGCAGAATAGGATGACACAAAATGGGTTGCTCTGTAACAGGTTTATTTTAAGTTTTGCTGTTGTTATCTAAACCAGTAAAAGGTTATAGTTAGTATAGAGTTAAGTTGCCTTTGTTCATCTATTTTGGTGTGAAGAGCTGAGAAATGGTCTTCCAGAAGCAGCAATGAATAGGGGAAGAATTAAAGGGGACATGAAAGGAGAAAGAAGAGAAACTGTGAATTACATAAAAATAATCATAACAAAATTAATTTGCACAGGTTTCTGCTTTTGCTTCTGGGATTGGAGGGACTGTGTGAGTGAGCAGTGAAACCAAGTGTTCATGTGAGACCATTTGTTTTCTGATGAACACTTTTGGCTCCTATTTCAAATTTCCTGTAGTCTAGGATAATGTTTTCCATTGACAGTAATTATATCAGTTGTCTGAAACTGTGTATGTGGTAGCTTAATAAGCTGACATCTGTTTTTCAGCTATTCAGTGGAAGTTAAGTTTCCTCTGTCTTTTCTTACAGGTGCACACATAGGAGTTGGCATCAGTGGCTAGGAAGAAATGGAAGCTGGTTTGGCCAGGGACTGTTTGCCCAGTTCAGATCCCTCCAGAGGCTGTCACAGGTTGATAGCAGTCTTTCTTGTTTGAGGATGTGTAAGTTCTTGTGTTCTTTCTTCTATGAAAACTTTGCATTCACACTGCTGCATTTACTCGGGTCTGTGTCTATTTTGTATGTTTGTAAATGAACAAAGCAGTGACTTGTACTCTAGATACCTGAAAGTAGAAGTATTGAAAGTCAGAAGAATGAATTAGGCAATCTAAATATTTGAGTGCAATTGTTTGGGAGTTAAAATCAAATAATTATTGTTTCTTTTTATGTTTGAAAACATGAGTGTGTGCCAGTTGCTACACTTAATGATTTTTCCAAGTTGAAGACATACCATTTTTATATGGTAGACATTTCTACCTTAGAAGGAAGAGAGAAGCCATTTGTTTTGCTTTAAGGGTATGGTAATCCCAGAGTTTGTCTGTGTGGTTGTAAGGAGTGTGTAGATAGCCATGATGAAACAACTGCCCCTACCTAGACTGCATCCGCTATGTCAGCAATAGATGTGTAGTAAGCAATTTTACTAAGGTGAAGAGCTGTCTTGGAATTTCATGCTTTTTTTAGACACAAGACAGATTTCTTACTTTATTTTTTTTCCTAATGCTGTAAGCGTTTTTCTTCACAGAAGATTAAGTTGGTGATCTAAGAAATATTGAAGGAGACAAAGAGTGGAGGCCTTGCAAGCTAAACATCATGTTTTAAAAATCAGTAATATGTTGGACTGAGATAGCTTTATGGGAGGCTGTATTTGGAGATGTTTAATCAGAGTCCTAAATGTCTCCTTAACATTTTGAATCATGTTTTAAGAGAATGAAGACTTAGCCTGTTTCCAGATTTCTTCACATCGTGACATTATATGTCCAAATGAAAAAAAATGGTTTTAAATCAACATTTAATAAATTAAGAAAACAACCTACTTTTTCAATGTGTATGTTAGTTTCAACAGACTAAGAAAACAGGGATGTTTGATCTCTCTTGTAAATTCTTTGTTGCTCAGAATCTTCCACTTCTCTGGTTAAGCTTTTACTAGACCTTGAAAATACAAGTCAGAACAATGACTTTCTTGTCTTGTCAGAAGCATCTTCTTGAGTGTCCAAAAGCAAACAACTAAAGAGTATAAAACTGGGACAAACACGTAGTGTTATTTTCTCATGTTAATTTTTTTGCTTCCAGGAATTGGAAGCTGAAGGACTTTCTGAACCATAGGTTCAGAAAACATGAACCATAGGTTCAGAAAACATGACTGCTACTGCTGAACCCAGGACATTATAGAGGATGGTTACGATCCATCGACCTCTGGGTTATGGGCCCAGCACGCTTCCGCTTTGTTTACCAAGTGTAGAGGCTTTTGTTTTCAAGCATGTACTCCTTATAGCATGATGTTCTACAACTTAAAAATCCTTTCCCCATTGTACTTGCTGTCTACTTTAATGTCCCTTAGCTCTTGTCACTAAATTCATGATGATTTTATAGCGGTCTTTTCTTTATACTCACCTCTTTTCCTGATGGAATGTCCTAGCGTACTTATTTAGTGTCTGGTAAATGAAATGGTGTTTGGAACATCCTCCTCTGAGACACTGAAAAGTAATTAGGGAATGAGTAGGTAGCTTTGATTGTTAAGGTGAGCTGGTCTAGCAGGTAGGAAGAATAAAAACCATGTTTTCCCTGTATCATGGAAGCATAGTTTTGAGGGTTTTTTTCTGTCCATGTGTAACTCCTGAATTCACATAGAGGAATTGGGGAAAAATTCTGAACTGCAGCTGTGATGTGTGTTCCAAAAGCTATACAGAGGTAAACTTAGAAGAGGAAACCACTCCTAATGCTACTGGCATGGTTCCAGAAAGGAGAGAATCAAGGACTGTGTGAAAGCATGAATAATTGTGAAAATATGTTAATGTTCTGAGCCTGAGGAAATAACCTATGTCTGTACAGGGGGATGTTTTTCAACAGTTGCAGCAATTAAACATTTGATTACAATTTCTAGAATCACACAGTATTGCAAAGCTGTAGGTGAACGCAAGAACAACCAGTATGCTTCACATAAGTTTTTGTTTTGCTGTTTCAGCTCACCTTTGGAAACGTAGTACACACATTCTTTTTTTTTTTTTTTGCGTGTGTGTGGTTTTTTTGTTTTGTTTTGGGTGTTTTTAAGTGTGTTTTTATCAGAAGGGTTTTTTTTTAAAAAAAAAGGCAACCCCTACCCCCCCTTAAATTTTGTGCCTGTGACTTTGTGATTGTGTCTGGGGCTTTTTTCCAGTTTGATTCAAATCTGAAGTTTGATTCAAATTTGATTAAAATTTGAAGAGATTTTCAGATTTGTTTTGGCTACCTGCCTTTTCTTATGAATTTTTCATATTCTTATTAAAGAGCTGTGCTTGCTGAGAGAAGGAAAAAGACATAAGTGTTTGCTGAAAATGAAAGAGCTTTGAATTTAGGCTAAAGATACAGATTCAGATGTAGACTTTAGAAGTGCTATGGGTATTTTGCTACATGCTCATTTAGAAAATGGAAGTATGTAGACTAAAACTAAAGCAAATGTTTAGCGTATAATCGAGTTAACTGCCAGTACACTAAAAATTCTTCAGCCTAGTTACAAAAAAATCTAGCACTTAAGCTTTTGTACTCAAGAGGCTGGCATGTACATGTCATGCTCAGGTAATTGCTACTTTGCACTACTTGATTACTGTTGGTCTGTGAATTTGTGCTTCATTCTGATGCAACCCGAATTTCCTGGTAGGTGGGCTGTTGTTCACATGACATTTTCTGAAATATAATCCAGTGATGTGAGCATCTGGAAGTTGTTCTTTTGTCTGGCTGAGTGATACTAAATACCGATCGTAGGGTAACTGAGGCTAATAGTGCAGTAGTGTCACTTGTCTAACATCCAATGATAGAATGTTCCTTTTGCCTTTATATTTTTTTCCTGATCTCATTTCAAATGTGATTATTTCCTGCTTTAGGAGTATGTAGTATAAATTCTCCTATATAGTAAACTTCTTTTTTAATACTTCTTTATTAATTAGTAAGAATAACTTGTATAGTAAGTATAAAATCTCCTTGTATAACTTGCATACGGGAATAGTGCAGTGCAATATTCCTTCTTATGCTCTGATATGCCTGTTTCAAAAAACAAGCCTGACTGTAACCTTTGTAAAGAAGCAAGTAAAATAAGGCATTAATCACAAAACTTTTCAGCTTGGTTTGTGAGGAGATCTGTATCAGCTTTCATGCATTACATGAACAGACACTAGGATAAGTTTCCAGAATTGCTACAAAACGCAGACTCTAACATTGAAAAAGTGTTGCAAATTAAAACATTTCTGGACTTTGAATCCATGACAGCCTGCAATGTATGTTTGTATATTTTAAGTATTTGAGGCCAGCAGATATGTTGCTACATCAGCTTTGGGACTTGGGGAATTAGTTTTATGTCTTTGATTCAGACTGTTTCATATCAGACAGCTAGCCTAAGCTAGGACTCATTTTGGAGACTTACAGATAATTGTGCTAGACAAGGCTCCTCAGTATCCAATGCAGTGAGAGAGAGGCCTCCTTGAATGACTACTTAAATGGGGTCGCTGAATACACTGAGAATTTTGTGAGCTGTATTGCTAGGGAATGATTGTAGCTTCAGATTTCTCTGAAGGTCTGTGAAAAAGGTGAAATTGCTGCTTGTTGAGGATCTTCTTTTACACTTAATTCAGCTGTGGCCTTTTTTTCTCTAATGGATCCAGGTATTCCTCTTGCTTCATTGCTTAAGATGTAGCCAGTTTGTCCAGTGGTTGTTAAGAGGATGACTTGAATGGAGGGTGGCAATACCACATACTTGAACCCTGAGAAGCAACACAACTCCATGGATAGTAACACTTTTACTATCTTCTCTTTTGACACTGTCACTTTCAGATTGTATATATACTTTAAGCTTTTTCTTATGCAGAGAAATGCTTAATGAATATTTTATTTCTCCCAATGATTCCGTATTATGTTATCAGTACTATAGATGATAAGCCACTAAATCCTTAGGTATCTTTTATTGCCTGTTATGAAAATTCATATACTCTGTTGTCTTCTGTTATTCCAAGAAACTACCACTGGAAATCTTTAAAATGGTTTTGTTCATACTATTTTTTTGCATCAGCTGTCATCCTTTCCAATGTATCACCCTCTTCAATATCATCTATACTTTGCTGCCTGTACTAGATACGGAGTTATTTGACCAGGTAGACTTCTACTGAATGTTTAAAACAGAAATAGTAATTTGACAATAGCAACACTGTGACAAGTGTTACAGTTGTCTCAGCATCAGGTGACAAGCCTTTGAAGAGTCTACTTAAGAACTGTGATTTTTGGTCGCTTTGACTGTACATGACATGGCTTAATCAATGAATTACTTAGGAGCTGGGGATTTATGGATAATGTTTTTTGCTGACAATATAACTTTCTTGCCCTGATGCTTCCTATCCTGAGGATGTGAAGAGTGCATATAGGACAGAAATTCCTGGAAATTTTTTTGGGGGCAGAATAATATGTAGGAGACATAGAAGGGGAAAGACAACCCTATCTGCTAGTGCTAAACACAATCAAGAGCAAATAATAGTTAAGGGTATTTTCCGTTTGTTTATAATTATAGACATACACTTATAACATCAAGCTCAATAAGATCTGCTTGTGCTTTTTCTTATCAAGAGGGCTGTGGGAAATATAACATCTGGAAGGAATATGTACATCAGTAACTTACATTTGTCAGTGAATTGATAATTTACTTAAGGGAACAACAGGCAATAATTTTAGTAGCGACAGAAATCTGAAACTTTGAGTCTAGCATGGAAAACATGTTTTCTTTCAACTACATAGTTCCTAAATTTATTGCTGTATCTTCATATTTTTTGCTATTTTTGATAGCACTGTGCTCAACATTACTGTTTGCAAAAGACTAGGATCAGGTGATTAACAATCTGCATTTTGGGGGCACTATGCAGTAGTACAGTGAACAGGAAGGTTATTCCAGAGGCTATTCCAGTTTAAAGTTTTCATCAAAATTAATACTATCAGGAAACAATTCAAGTATTTGTTAAGTTTTTTGTTAAATGATGCATTTGCTTATTAATTGCCTACTTGCACTTTTAGAATAGCTTTCCAAAACAAATTAATTTTTTTTTTGAGTGAAGCAGCTGCTCAGGATTAATGTTATGTCAAAGTTTCAGGCTCCAGGAAGCGGACAGATGAGTAAAGCTCAACCTCAAATGTCAAATGAGCTTTTTGTTTTTACAACAGGAATCTTTCACAAGTGACTGAAATGGCTCTGTTGGGTTAGGTAAGAAGAAAATCAAGGACTTGAATATTTTACCACTTCACCAGTGGCTTCTTTCTAAAAAGGTAACTATCTTATTGTAATGACAGATGGTAGACATTAACTGAATAGGAACTAGTTGCAATTTATCACAATAGCAAGAATTGATCATTATCTGCATTATATGCTGAGCACCTTTTTCTAACACTTAATCTGGCTCTTTTAGAGTCAGTTTAATTTTTTTTACTTGAGGCTGCCATATGCAGGAGACATGCAAGCAATCCATTTGACAGCAAAGTAACAAATCTAATGTATCTGTACTGAGGTTTTATGTTACTGCCTGTTAATGAATTATCCATTGGATTTTTTTTTTAAGTTAATTACCACAAATGACCAAAATATTTGTAAACTGAAAACCAAGATAACAGTCAGAACAAATTTGTTATGGGGAAACTGTATCTAATTAGTCTGCTAGAGCATTAGTAAGCCTTATGGCTAGAGGAAAAGCTCTTTGACACATTTCTTAGCTTTATATATTAACTGTTTTGAGGCAGAAGGTGATTTAGGTTGTCTTGAGTCATTTCAAGTCCTAAGATTTCATGAAAAAAATTCTTACTTATTTACTTATTGATCTAACTGGTTAACATTTGGTTTCTACTTGAGTGTGATTTTGTTGGAAAAGTTGTCTCATATGGAAACGTTTGATTCTTACGTATCTTGGGCCAAGAAACACTTGTAGGGGTGATGATTTATAAGCAGCTTAGCTCACCAGGTCAGGGAAAGTACATTTAAATTGGAGTGGTGTATATACATATACATACATAGCTGTATACTATATCAGTGTACTCCTGAATGAGATCTGGGGTGCCTGCTAAAATGAAATTACGATGAACTGTCATGTTTTTCACTGCTTCCAGAAGGTAAAATATTTACATCAGGAGATGGAAGTAGTGCAAATAAACTCAGAATGAGGAAAAAAAGCATGTTTCTTTTAGAAATATGGAGAGAAAGTAGAGCTTCTTGATGTATTATCATTCATAATCCTGTAATCTTGCTCTATCTCACACTGCTTGTGGGTGTCAAGGTAAGATTTAGCATTTATAAATGCAGGTAAATTATTTTAAAAATAACTATAACCTGTGTCATTTGCACACTGTATCAAATACTGGTTTGGGAGGTAATTAATCCCATGCACTATTTTGTCATTTTGCTATTAAAATTCTCCATTGAATTAGTAATGGGTAAGAAAGCAAGTTAATACTTTCTGGTTTAGTGTAGATGCTTCATTCCAACACCAACAGATACCCTACGAAATCTGTATACTTAATTTGTACACGGAGTCTGTATACTTAGAATATTTTGAAAGGACAAGTTACTTGTGGAATAAAAAACCCCAAGCTTTCTACAGATAATTCTCATAAAATACATCAGTGACAACTCAGAAGTTAGGTTTATACAATCATATACAGGATGTGGTGATGTCGTAATGACGTATTTTTCATTTGTCTTAGGAAAATCTGAGAATGTCTTACCCAATGTACAAATTACCTTTTAACACCCCCCTCCACACCCCACAACCCCAAAAGAAAACCCCAATGCTCCCCAAACTCAAAACATAACTGTTTTTTTTTACTTCATAGGTCAAGAGTTCCACTTCCTGTGAAGCAGATCGATTTCAGTAGACTTCATTTTATGTTGCTGAGTAATGTTCTGTAAGGGTGAATCTTAAGCATTTTCCCCCAGAATCATTCTATTCATGTGGTTTTGGTAGTCCTTATGGAGAGATACTGTTCTTTGAAGAAATTACTTTCACAATACTGTTGATGTCCTCACAGGTTTTGGTTTTTTTTTGATTGGTTTGTTTTTTGGTGGTTTTTTTTGGTTGGTTGGTTTTGTTTTGTTTTTTTGGGGGGGGGAGTGGAAGCTTTGAGGAGCACTGCTGATCTACAAACTTTTCTTAACCAAGGAATCATAGAATGATTAGAATGAATCTTTAGAGATCTTTTAGTTCAAACCTCTGCCATGGGCAGGAACATCTTTCACTAGATAAGTTTACTTAAAGCCCCATCCAGTTTGGCCTTGAACACTTCCAATGGGGCAGCCACAGCTTCTCTGGTCTACCTATTCTAGGGTCTCACCACCCTCAATGTAAAACTTTTTTCCTTACAACCAATCTACATCTTACCCCATTCAGTTTAGAACTGTTGCTTCTTGTCCTGTCACTACAGGCCCAGGTAGAAAGTCTCTCTCCATCTTTCTGAGAAGCACCCTTGAAATATGATGGAAAATGGCTTGGCAACTACATCAGCCAATTCCCTCAAGGCACTGTGATACGCTTTACAGGGTAGGATAGATTTGTTTATGTCATAAAACTGTTAACAGAATGAATTGAGATGCATGGTCACTCATGGAACAAAAATTTTAGAGGATATCCTTTCTCAGCCTGTCTTCATCAGTGCCATCTTCTTGCCTTCCTTTTGGTTTCATGCAGTGTCTTTCGGTATCTATAAATAGGAATGATAATAGATGTACTGTGCTTGAAATTGTTTAAGTAAACAAACCCAACCCCAGAACCTCTCCCCCAAATCTACCTGTGATGGCAAGGATTTACATTATGATAAGTATTTACATTATGCTGAACAATTTATAGCTACCGGGCTGCGTTTTTCCCAGTGGTCTGAGACTGATTTATCTGTATCTAATTCTATGTTCATAGGTGTCTGAAGTGACTAGAACTTACTTTGTACACCAGCAGTGATGCAAGCTGCTTTTAAGACTTGTGTATATGGTTCCAGAAGATCATATTAAGGTATATTGAACTGAAATAAGGAGTGACACCGTTTTATTGCTGTAATGCAAATAAGGAGAGGATAAGAGCATGTATGTCTGTTTTTCAAATGTCACAGTACTTCCTGAGGAATAATGTATCTCATAAGTTAAAACCATTTGGCCACTGTAATATTTATATCTGGGACACAATTTTGTGCCTAAAAAGCCTATGATTAGAAGTCTTCTACAGTGATATTACACTAGCTTCTGACATGCTTTCTTCAATCACATTATTTACTCCCTGGCTAAAGCTTTCTCTGCATTACCTCGTCATCACTGATACTGCAATAACTTTCCCTGCACTGTGAACTGAATTATCGGGTATTTCTCAACTACAAATTCATCTCTACAAAGTTCCAAGGAATGATTTTTGTAATTGAACTCTGTTTCCAGTTTACTTAACTTTGCTTACATTATCTGGTTAGGCAATCATTGTCTGGAACATAATAAAATAATCTAAATTACTGTTCTTTTAAGAATAAACTAAGCAATCATTAATATGCTATCGCTTCCTTAGGGACATTCTTTGGACATTTCAATGAAAAAGTTGAGAAAACAAAAAGAGAAATCAATAGAAAAAGGAAATAATGTAATATAACGGAGTATTTGAACAGTATATTCTTTCAAAATTCTTAAGAACCTTAAAGAATTAAATGTAAAAACTAAAAGACTTCCTATGGCAGGAAGCCTGTAAGGCAAAAGTGTAACAAATCATGTGAGGAATATTGCATAAGTGCAGTTCCTGTTCTTAAAATCAAATGAGCTAGACCTTTACAAAATTGTGGTATTAAGGGTGTGTGCTTTTGTCTATGCATGTTTGAGAGTGTACAATGTTTTTATTCAGTCTGCTGTAGACTTAAACTAGATTAACCTACCAAATGTACTACAAGCAGTGTAACAGGCTTTTTTTTTTTTTTTTTTTTCTGCTATCAGTAGTAGACTTGTGAAAAAGTAAATATGCAAACAGTGTGTCTGCAATAAGGCTTGCTTGTGCAGATAGACACTGCTAACTGGTCTGGAGCTAGCTGCTTTAAAGCTAATTGTTTGAGTGGCTTAACTTCTGATTCAGAAATCAGATTTCTGAATATTGTTCATGTTTCTCATGTTAATTTCTGTTCCTAAATGAGGCCTTTAAATCTCTCACTATACATATAATGATAACCCCACCCCCAGCAAAATTAAAAAAACTCTAATAGCAAGAGATATGCTAACCCTTCTCTAAAGCAGAGTGCAAAAAGCATTTCATACTATTAATGCTTCTATATTTAGAGTAGTCTTCACAGATGCAGTCATGGTTGAAAAGATTGTGCATTCTCTTGCTGGATATACTACCTGTATGTAAATGAGTTAAATGTTCTGTGCCTCACTATATTTACTGTCAGAAGGGAAGAACTATGATGCATGCATCATAGAATTAATCTGTGTGGAATGAAATATAACTAGTCTTGTTATTACTAGCAGAATGAATGTAAATGTAGAAAGCAAAATCTATTTGCGATCATGAGATGCTCGAATTTGAGATCCTCAGGACAGTGAGAAGAGCGTGCAGCAAGCTCACTGCCCTGGACTTCAAAAGAGCAGACTTTGGCCTCTTCAAGAACCTGCTTAGGAAGGTTCCATGGGATACAGCCCTGGAGGGCAGGGGTGCCCAAGACTCTTGGCTGATATTCAAGGATCACCTGCTACAAGCTCAGGAGTGTTGCATCCCAACCAGAAGGAAGTGCAGCAGGAGGGCCAGGAGACCTCCTTGGATGGATAAGGAGCTCCTGAGGAAAATTCAAATGAAAAAAGAGGCTTATAATAAGTGGAAGCAAGGACAGGTGGCATGGGAAGAGTACAGGGGTGTTGTCCGGGAAGCCAGGGACCAGGTTAGGAAAGCAAAGGCCCAGTTAGAATTAAACTTAGCTAGAGGTATTAAAGATAACAGGAAGGGATTCTACAGGTATGTAGCAAATAAAAAACAGACTAGGGAGAATGTAGGCCCCCTCAGGAAGCTCTTGGGAGAACTGGCTACACAGGATTTGGAGAAGGCTGAGGTTCTGAATGACTTCTTTGCCTCAATCTTCACTGGTAAAGGCTCTGACAAAACCACCCAAGTCTTGGAAGGCAGATGCAAGGACTGTGAGAATGAAGACCTTGCGCCCGCTGTAGGAGAGGAACTGGTTCGAGACCATCTTAAAAATCTGAACGTGCACAAGTCCGTGGGTCCTGATGACATCCACCCGCGGGTCCTGAAGGAGCTGGCGAATGAAGTTGCGAAGCCACTGGCCATCATATTTGAGAAATCATGGCAGTCAGGTGAAGTTCCTGATGACTGGAAAAAGGGAAATATAACCCCCATTTTCAAGAAGGGAAAATGGATGACCGGGGGAATTACAGAGCAGTCAGTCTCACCTCTGTGCCTGGCAAAATCTTGGAGCAGATTCTCCTGGAAGGCATGCTAAGGCACATGAAAATCAACAAGGTGCTTGGTGACAGCCAGCATGGCTTCACTAAGGGGAAATCCTGCCTGACCAATTTGGTGGCCTTCTATGATGGGGCTACAGAACTGATGGACGGGTAGAGCAGTTGATGTCATCTACCTGGACTTGTGTAAAGCGTTCGACACTGTCCCACACGACGTCCTTGTCTCTAAATTGGAGAGACATCAATTTGATGGATGGACCACTCGGTGGATAAAGAACTGGCTGGATGGCCGCACACAAAGAGTTGTGGTCAATGCTCAATGTCCGGCTGGAGACCAGTAACGAGTGGTGTCCCTCAGGGATTGGGGTTGGAACCGGTCTTGTTCAACATCTTTGTCGCTGACATGGACAGTGGGATTGAGTGCGCCCTCAGCAAGTTTGCCGATGACACTAAGCTGTGTGGTTCGGTTGATACCCTGGAGGGAAGGAATGCCATCCAGAGGGACCTCGACAGGCTTGTGAGGTGGGCTGATGCCAACCTCATGAAGTTTAACCATGCCAAGTGCAAGGTCCTACACCTGGGTCAGAGCAATCCCAGGCACAGCTACAGGTTGGGCAGAAAAGAGATTCAGAGCAGCCCTGAGGAGAAGGACTTGGGGGTGTTGGTTGATGAGAAAATGAACATGAGCCAGCTTCAGTGTGCACTTGCAGCCCAGAAAGCCAACCGTATCCTGGGCTGCATCAAAAGGAGCGTGACCAGCAGGTCGAAGGAGGTGATCCTGCCCCTCTACTCTGCTCTTGTGAGACCTCACTTGGAGCATTGTGTGCAGTTCTGGTGTCCTCAACATAAAAAGGACATGGAACTGTTGGAACAAGTCCAGGGAAGGGCCACGAGTATGATCAGGGGACTGGAGCACCTCCCGTATGAAGACAGGCTGAGGAAGTTGGGGCTGTTCAGCCTGGAGAAGAGAAGGCTGCGTGGAGACCTCATAGCAGCCTTCCAGTATCTGAAGGGGGCCTATAGGGATGCTGGGGAGGGACTCTTCATTAGGGACTGTAATGATAGGACAAGGGGTAATGGGTTAAAACTTAAACAGGGGAAGTTTAGGTTGGATATAAGGAGGAAATTCTTTCCTGTTAGGGTGGTGAGGCAATGGAATGGGTTGCCCAGGGAGGTTGTGAATGCTCCATCCCTGGCAGTGTTCAAGACCAGGTTGGACGAGGCCTTGGGTGATATGATTTAGCGTAAGGTGTCCCTGCCCACAGCAGGGGGGTTGGAACTAGATGATCTTAAGGTCCTTTCCAACCCTAATTATTCTATGATTCTATTAAAAGCAAATGTCCAAGTTCAGCAGTGTATTGAATTATATGGGAGGCCTACTACATATAAGGGATAGCTAAAGAAAATTTTGAAATTAATAAAAGGCACAAATGATTTTCAGTAACTTACAATTATCTGTCTTTTCCTTCCTGATGGAAGGACATAACACTAGTGTGTACAGCAAAGACACGTACCAAATGAATTTTCTGACCTGTAGAAAGGAACATGATTGCAACTGATCTTGTACATGTATACTGGCGCGTAGTCTGAATGAGGCTCTAAACTTGCTTTAGGGCATAATTATTCAAAACTATTTACATTAATAGTAAGTCCTGGGAACATGAAATTCAGAACTATTCCTGTGGTTTTGCTCACGGCACCTAAAATATATAATAAATTAATCTACTTCGTATGAATAGAATCATAGAATCATAGAATCGTTAGGGTTGGAAAGGACCTTAAGATCATCTAGTTCCAACCCCCCTGCCTTGGGCAAGGACACCTTACGCTAAATCATATCACCCAAGGCCTCGTCCAACCTGGCCTTGAACACTGCCAGGGATGGAGCATTCACAACCTCCCTGGGCAACCCATTCCAGTGCCTCACCACCCTAACAGGAAAGAATTTCCTTCTTATATCCAACCTAAACTTCCCCTGTTTAAGTTTTCCAGTTAAAACTATAAAATAAATTATCTGAATTCTTCAAATGCAGTAGTAATGTTTCCTGTCGTTATTTCTGCTGTACTAACAGAGGACATAAATTTACCCTATGAAAAACTTAATTATCTTAGGCAAGCATTCTGAATTCGAGTTATTTTCTATAAGCTCGTTCACTGTTTTACTGTCTATAGTCTCTTGTACATAGTAATACACAATGTACCTCCTTGGACTATTCTGTAACGTGCTCAAAGAGGGTCAGGCCTGAAACAGGTATGGTTTGCAAGTGAAGGGACTATTCGTGGGAGCTCATGCAGCTCCAGATTTGCAACAGCACTGTGTTTCAT